GGTTGTCATCGATCTAGTATGGTATTTTAAGTCAAAATATAGTAATGTTGTACTTGAAGACCAATTTATTTGCTTCAGATGGTACGAAGAAAATTTAGCTACTATGCTAGGGTTTGACGACGAATATTCGAAAATGTAAGAAACATTTCCTTCAATATGTTTCACCATAAACAACGCATAACTTTCCCGTGTGCCTTCCAGTCTGGCAACGCCGGTGCTGTACTCTCGTTTTTGTTCCTTGCGACGCACGTTTCTTCCATTCCTGGTGATCTCAACTGTTTGCCCGCTTTTCCTTTTGCCCAACCGATCCACCGGTGACGAGGAGCTAAGCTTCTCGTCACCGTTGAATTGCTGGCCAGCGAGGATATGTAGAAACCTCAATGCTGTCGGCATACTATCGGCGCACTGCGAACAGAAAAGCAGTACAATGTCCCAGCTGTTCACCCGGAACGAAAACTTTATCGAGGATAACCCCCTTTCTTCGCAAAGTAATCGCTGCTCACGAGTTGGCGTGCATAGTGTAACAAATTAAACGTGTTAGTAAAAATATATACCAACACTCGTCCGCAAAACATTTTTTTACTCACCATAAAAACACTTGCTAGGTTTATGTACCGTCATATGTCTTGGATCCCGGACTGCTGAAGAGTGATGCGTTCGCGGAATGCTGCCGTCGGTTAGTTTAGTAGTCCCTCTGAACTACCGCTTAGCTTGGCGTGCTAATGGGTTGATGGTGCGTCATTAATATAACAGCCGGATCAAAATGAATGTTCAGCAGAACTAAGAAGAACTATTAGCCCTCATTAAGCGACGTCGTGGCCATTTTGCTTGTAGGTACTGCTCCTCCCTCGGCGCCCCTGCTCTCCTAGTCACGTGACCTAGAATTCCCTCTTCTAGGGACAATAGTTAATATTAAACCACGGTTAGCGTTCGAGAAAACGTGCCCAGGTGGTCGAAATTAATCCTCAGTCTTCCGCTGGGGCGTGTCAGTTGCCTGTCGTTGGTTTGGCAGGTAGAACCCCCAAACTTGACTTTGGTAACGACAATGACGGCAGTTTGTGTATTTCACCACCTTATGGAATATAAATACCGTTAATCTTATGGTACACATCGGAAGGTGTCGATATGTATATGTAGCTTCTATAATTAGGGAATTCAGGTTTCACTGGTGGAAATGAAGCCCGTAAAATTGTGGGTTAGAGGCTGTTTCGGAAAGAGCCAATCCTTTTGACTTAAGACGTACAAATAAAAAATAAACAGTTCACAATAAACAATTCGGGAAAATGTTAAGAAGTGCCGCGAACATTTAGCAGCTCCATGGAGAGTCTCGTAAACTTCCGTTTAAATGTTGAAAATGTTGACTCCGCTTTTCTATGGACTTGTTTTATCAGACCTACTACCTTATTTATAGAGTACGTGTCTCTGACGACTTGCATAAATTCAACATTATGGTGAGTTAGATAGACGGCACATATGGCTCCCTTCATGACGACTGGTATGATTGCCTAGGCACAAATTGCATTAGGCAGTAACCGAAGGGATACCCGAATAATTTACATTAAAAAAAGAAAAAAACATTTTGCTGCCCCTAACGACATACATCGCGAGTCGCAACTCAAAAACTGTCCGGAGAATATAATGTTTTTATTCTAGTACTTTCTCCGATTGATCGGAACTTGTCTAACTAGCTCTTTTTTCATCAATTACTGACTTCAAAAGTAATCTTGGTCGTTACAGTATTTAGTGCTCAAGCCGTTTTGAAGCCGATGCGATAATAGCAGATCCTTCACGTCCCAAACTAAGACACTCCTGCATTCAAAATTGCAGCGATGATCTCACTAGATGGCAGGAGAATTGTTGTCTCGCACTCGCAGATCAGTCACAGGCTCCAGAGCTGTTGCTTGTAGTCACTGGGCCCGTCAAGTCCGTACTCCTTTATTCCGAGCGCAGCAACTGAACGACGTATGGCGTAGAGGAGGGCGACACACCGAAACTGCGTTTCAGATCAACTTGAATAGATCCGAGTTACCCTGCACATTATGTCACGTGACAACAGAAATAGAAAAACGCTGGACGTGGGCGGGCTTTCGTACGCTAAAGTACAGACAGAAAGAAGCTTTACCGTAGAGTGAGATCGAGTAAATTTTGAAACACGGCCCGAAACTATCGACGAGCCACACGAGCTCCTTCCGACAGCACGGTTATGACGAACCCGGTATTGTGTCGTAGTTTCGGTTTCTGTATTACGTCTGTCAACCTTGATTGTGTGTGTCGCTAGTGTTGTTGTCTATATAAACTTGTGTTCGTATAAATAAAGTGTTGTTCGACTCTTCGTCACTTCGGCCTTGGTCGCTACACTACACCCGGCTTCTCCTGGATACGGGTGGCAGAAGCCGAAATTATTTCGAAGATAAATTATTTAGGCCCGTGGGCAGTGCAGAGTCTAAAACAAAAAAGATGGCGACGTTATGAAGTTTTTACGAACGTTTTAATATTCCTGAAATGTTTGAAGACTCGCTTTGAGACATATGTGGAAAGTTACCTTAGCCGATCTGTTTATTGACCATGCGTGCTGTTCCGATTTAAATTAAAGACAGCATCCTTGAACCCGCTCGTTGACGCATGAAACCCCAAAATTTGTAAGAGACTCCGTGGTTCCGTCTCGCAGCGCGGGACGAAAGCTACGCCGATACCGGCTCACCGTCGTTTGATAGCACACCAATTCTTTTTTACGCGGTATGCATGACGAAACCTTCCCCGCAACGCTAACAGATGTTTTGGCGTTCTAATTTAAGTATATTTATTCGCTGCTAATGGACTAAGCATTCTAAGCAGGGCAGCAGTCTGACTGTTTTTTCATCACGACTTTTCTGTCGCCGAGCTATCGGCACTCTCGTTCGATAGATCAATTCGTTTTCAGGCAAGACGCACGTGCAAACCTTTTTCCTCGACGCTGACTGATGCTTCGGCTTTCCAATCGGGGTATCTTTATTTAGCTAAGCATTATAAAAGGGGAAGAGCGGTCCGAATGTCTCCTCATCTCGACAACGTTTCTGTTGATGTGCTATCGGCACGCTACCGTTTGACAGATGAATTTCTTTTTCAGGCGAGATGCACGAACAAACATATTTTGGAACGCTAATTGCTCTCTTGGCTTTCAAATCAAATCTTTTTACCGTCTGGATTAAGCACTAATGAACTGAAAATGGGCAGCGGCCCGCTTACGCCTTTCGTCTCGACGGCGTCAACGGTCTCACCAGCAGCGCAGCCATCTAGTTCATTTACGTGACGTCACGGAGCGTCTCGCGCTCCGAGAAATTCTCGGTGCACGAAGAGCGCGCTCGAGGTCGTTGGTGGCACTCCTGTCCGTTTACTGAAAAGAGCGCCAAACTCTCGCGCTCCGCAGCACGGACTTAACGCGCCCATTGTCATTTGAAAACTTTTGGGAGACATCTCAAGAGCCGGCTCTTTAAAAGGCTTGTTAATGGTTAGAAAGGATGGCTTCGGGAGGTTCACCGATATATATATATATATATATATATATATACTACGCTAAAAGACAAAAATAAACAAAAATAATGTGTAGCATGTATGTTGCTCCTATAGCCTTCGGCAACACTTGCTTGCCTTTCAACCCACCATCGTCCGTAAAACGCGTGGAAAAAGCCCCAGTGCAATCGAGAACTCCGTGTCCCTCCTTCCACCTGTCCTCAATTAGACTAAACTTCAAAGGGACCGCCAGTGTCGACAGCTGTGCTCTCTTCGACAAGGAAGGTGAGAGACAACGCTTACATATTGTTGCTCTAGCACAGTATTTTACAACGAGTTCACAAACGCCAGTTTGTCTAGAGAAGGGAACTTTATGGTATCGCTGTTTCCCCGTTGAAGAAAAAGTAATTGATTGGGGGGGGGGGGGGGCAATGCCAGAATGCCAGGGCCCAGAGGCTCCTTTTAGTTTTGTTCCTTCTTTAGCTGTTCTGAATTGAGAGCGACTAGCAGTTTTCAAGTTTCCGGGGGCCAACATGGGGCCCCCTTGCAGCCCGGGGCCCTGGGCAGCGGCCCCCTTTACCCGTACCTTAATCCCGCAATGCTGATGAATGTTTATAAACGCTGAATATCTGCTTCACGCAGTGGCGTAGGTTGCATACAGAGCAACTTGGGAACATGATACTCTAGTTACGAGAGAGTCATTGGGACAACTGTTTTATCGCGCAAACCATCGACGACATGTAAACACGGAAGCCACAAGATACAAGCAGAAATCGCGAAAGGACCTGTCCCGGCCAGTTCCATGTTTTCCCGCTATGTGCCGTCTGTTTTGCTGGAGTTGCGAATAGTTGGGTGAGAGGTAAGTTTAGATGAAGGCTAGAGCGATTTTTCATAGACGAAATTAGACGTATCCCGGTCGTTGGTTTGGTTTTTCTGACTCAAAGTAAGATCACGGTGCGGTGAGAAAATGTTTAATATGGGATGCATTCTATTAAAGCAGTGCACGCTCTTACGAGGAATAAAGTGTACTGGTAATTTTTGTAAATGAAATAATGTAAGAGGGGGAACAAAAGGCCCTTTACAAAATTACGTCCTCTTCTCGTAAAACTGAAGATACTACACGGTGCGTACTCAAAACCCACAGTCGAAGTGGCAAGTCCATAATATAATGTTCACTTCCAAGCAGAAGTACGTAATAATTAGAAGCGCATGTTCCGCAGTGTCGCCAGCTTCATTATAATGCAGCGTTTTCGGAGATAATGCGCCTGCCTTTTTGTCTGCATCACACAAGGGTACCGAGTCAACGAACGTTAACTAATGGTCTCCTGTGTGACGTTAGAATATGTTAAACTAAAGTCACAAGAATAAGGGAGAAGAAAGGACATAAAGAGCGGTTATGCCTTGGTGCCTAAAAAGCGTTATGGGGGCGACGTGGGATGCCATATGTCGAAGCACCGGGCCTACTTAGTGTACAATTTCGGCTAACACGACCACCGAAACAGAACTCTCACCCAAGCCACGTTGATGAAATCGTTTTCTTCAAACGTCTTCAGGAGGGACTTGACGGAAAGCTTCATGATCTCCATGGAGGGGCCGTGCATGCTGCCGCTTCTGCAGTAGTCGGAGGAAACAAAAATACACTTGAAGAAGGAAAGTTACATCATAAGATTATTTGTACATTTTGAGGCATGAAGACCGAACTATAGCAATTTAATAAATAAAGTGCAAAACATTACCACCAATAACAATACAACTGCTCCTGGAATGGAAAGCAATAATGCATAGTTTCTTGCCATGAAATAAACTCAATACCAAGATCAATCGTAAATAGGCAACAAAGACCTTTTCGTCAAAGTTGGACTAGTTCACAAGGGCCACAAACACATCAGTATGCCTGCCTATAAGTAAGTAATTCAAACGTAGCATAAAATCAGGCAGCATCCTTATGACATAAATTATTCCAATATCGCATCATCAGCAGAAAGGTTAGATTATTATCGACTCACATTTCTTAAAAAAAACAACAACAACAATAAAAAAACTCTACTTTGCGTGTCCTGAAAAGGATCTGCGGCACTTAGTTACATTACCGCGTTTAAACTTAGCGGGTCTGGGTCCCGCTAGTGGACGGCGTTGAATTGACACTTTGACGTCACGTGACATTGTGACATCACGTGACTTCACGACGTCATGTGACATCCTAATATCACGTGACACTGTGACCTCACGTAGCACAATAACGTCGCGTGGCACAAAATTCCGACGCAATTTAAAGGGAAAACTTGGAACTTCACGTAACATCATGATATCACAGTGTCCCGTGAGATTGTGATTCTCAGCTACATTTAGCGAAGGAATGTCTTCGCTAAATTTAGGGGGCCACGATAAACACGCGGCCAAACCCCGGGATCCGCCACGAAACCTTGTCAGTAACGGTTATCGCCGTAAAAGGAACTCACGTGTCCATTAGTACAATGACATCTTTAGGCGAACTTGAGCCGTCAATAAACCTGGAAGAAAAACAAAGCAAATAAAGCGGCGTGATTCACTGGAGTGCAGCATAAAATGTCAGGCACATACGCGCAGTAAAAACGGCCCTCGAGCGACGGTTATTGGACACTGTAGTCCTGCGCCTGTTCTCATCGCGCTTGGGTTTGCTGTCCAACATATCGGGTGGGAGATAAAGTAACCAACTTCTTAGCATTACTCGAAAATAAGTTCAAATCCCCTAGATAGCTTGGCGCGTAAAAGCTGTCTGACGGCAAAATAAGAAACCAAGAACATCTATTTTGTCAACCAAAGTAAAATTGTCGATGCCAAAATTCGCTACATATACTGGGTATCGCGGCTAGTGCTAGTGTGAACAATAAACTAATATTTCGTACCAAGCCGTTCAAACATCTTTAAATCATTCATAATCGCTTCGATGCTATCAGCTTCGAGATGTTTCAGTGGCGGCCTCTTATGGTTTTCTTTCGTGACGTCACGAACGGGATTTGTCTCGCCGTGATTGGATGGATTCGCCTCGTTTCCTTCCGTGACATCACGAACGGGATTTGCGTCGCCGTGATTGGCAGGATTTGCCTCGCGGCGATCCGGCGACTGAGCAGGCATTATCATAATGCAGTAAGCTCTGGTTTTGCCAATTGCGAACTTCGACCACAGCGTTGCTTTTGGTCGCACAACTAAGGCCTCCTCTCCCCTGCCCCCCCCCCCCCCCCCCCCCAATTTTCATTCACAACACTTTCTCTCTCTCACGTCGCCGTTAATGGACTGCATGTAACGCGATAAACGCGATATTGCAACTAATAGAACTCACCAAGGCCTCATTCGGACATCGAAGAGGTCTGGCTTTCCAGGGGCGACCTTCCAACGATTTGCTGAAACGAGATAAGACCAGCAATAGCGTCAGCTGTAGAAGCAAAACGACACAACCAAGTCCCAAATGATCTTAGTCAACGCGGAGCTTCAATTAGAACCCCACTTGGCAGTCTGCCGTAAAAAGAGCCTGCTGTATCAACAAATTGGGACGCGATCAATTCACGTAATTAGCGGCAGTTCTGCTTAGCCCGCCCCTCATAACAACATGCAAATGCTTTAATCAAATTTCCCTAAAAGGCAAGTAGTGAAATCGGTGAATCTGAGACGTTCAACACGAAACGTATTGATATATATTTTTCTTTATTCCTGTCGGTCAATCTAGAACTCTCATCGGCCTGCGTACGATAACGCAATATTTTATTTCTACATTTTTATACAGCAACAGTCTTCTCGTCTCTCCGGAGTGACTGGCAGATTAAGAAATGCGGGAAGTGGTGAGTCCTGTGCAGCTAATTATCATTCCCCAACGAATCATGTTGCGGAAATTAGCCTATAAAAGCGTGGAAGAAGAGGCATGGAAAAAATATGCGCAGTCATGATAAACCACGCTCCGTGTTTCTTAATGCTGAATATTGAACGCGTTGGGGTTGAATCTTTGAAAACACGGTCTTCCCGTTGACGTGTGGCAGAAAATACGTAGACGAGGCAAAATATCTGTTCCCGAAAGATTACGGGAACAAAACCAAAACGTGAGCAGCCATCGAGGTGGTCCCTTTTCGATGCATTGTCATGACTGCGGATAAAAAAGTTTGTTGACCATATGCACGATTATTAGCAGGCATAAATATAAAACGGAAAGAAAAATTATAGAGGCAAACATAATGTAAAGTAAAGGCGACGAATGCGTCATCGTGGCTTAAATCGATCTGACAGATAAACAGACGGGGTTCTTGCGAGCAGCAGCGGGGTACGGGATTGGTTTAGTGGCGCGATAGCGGAGAGCATATATCCCCGTCTATTTCTGAGGATGAAGCAGTTGGAGTGAGCTCGTTGAGTTGTCTGGTTCTATCCTCTCGTCCGCGTCTATAAACGAAACCATATATGTTTTCAAAAATTGTTAGCTCTGCCTCGTTAAAATTTTTACGTTTTTTTTATACATTTGTTTGGCTTTTGTCTTTTGTTATTGGTTGGTGGACGGTATAGGCAGATTGTATGTTAACCTTAATCTGGAGTTAAATTGATTGTTTTGCGTCTTCGCCGACCCTCAGCCACAGCCACAGCCTGCTGTAAGAAACCGTAAAATAATCTCACCTTTGGCTAAATACTCGCTACACCTAAGGTCCGATAATTATAATGTATAAAACTAGTGTTCGCTTTTTTCCCCGGCGCATTATCTGTTACAGAGTTTACAGTGCACGCAGCGAGCAGGCGACGCACTCTGTCGTCAGTTTGCTGTCTTCATGAAGGGATGGCGCCACAAGCAAAAACCATCGTTAACTTAGTCGTCTGCCGTTTACCCTGGAAAGTTTGTTGGTCTCGTTGTCTACAGGAAGGGAAGAACGCCTTAGAATTCAACCAGGCAAAATTCAGTCCAAAATGCACGTTTGGCAAAAGTAGAAGCATTTTACGCGCAAGCCCCGATTTTCCCGACCGTGGCTTTACAGCGCAAGGATCCATTTGAGTCTCACTACACATTTTGTGAAACAAGTTTTAAAAATAAATTCCCAGTTCAGTTTAACACGAAATTACGATAGTTGATAATGCATCAAATATCTAAAAAAATTCCGACGTAGAATGAACTCTGCAAGGGCGTGCTGATAATGGGCCCGCCTCACATCAAGCTGAAGAACTCAACAGATCACGTCTTACGTGCTTCTATGATTCAAGGATTCCTATTTAATTAAAATTGCGAGATATTATATATATATATATATATATATGTATATATGAAATTATGGACAGAATAAGGTATTTGTTTTCCTTTTTTTTAGACTATGCAGGAAATGGCTTCCTGTTTTGAGTGAGTTGGGTCAATATCTCATTAGTCGAGACGGCAGTTGAGTTCGAAGAAAAGCATTCGGATGCAACATTATTTGATGAATTTGGGCTTTTGGCACAAATGACGTTCCTGTTTTTGTTTTTAGGCTAATGACTGCCATAGCCTTGGGTAAAAGTATTTCTTGAAAGATTTTAGGCTGGAGTGAATTTACCTTACATTCAAAGTAAAAATCATGATTCTTTTATAACTTTCGAATTTCAGAACAGTTAAATTATTTGTTGCAACACTATATTACTAATTAAAATTGTACGTAGTTTGGTAATCTCTCTTCATATATATAGGGTGTTCTTTCTCTAGCTTTACAGATTTCTTTAAAAAAAGCCGCGAAAGTTGCACTTATGCGTATTCTGCAGGTGAGTTATACGGCCAGAGGGGCATAGTATAGAAACTAATTGTAACGATCAGTCGGCCAATTAAGTAAAACTCGTTACTTAACTTCTTATTTAATCAAAATAGGCATATGGTTTCTATTAGAAACTTGCTGAGCGTCATCGAAAAACCAAAAACCACTAAATTATCAATTTTCAGAAAGACTGAGCGCGTGAGAGGCTCAGTAGTGCACTAAAGTTACCACTCGTGAACCAAGTACAAGGATAGTGGTTGAAGAACGCGTATGATTAGATTATCATCGCGTTCCGCCACTGCGAGCTTTGCGTCCGGTGTACGAGTGGTAACTGTACTGCGCCCCCAATTGACCCCCGAGCTTCAAGTCGTTATAAAAAGAGTTGATTTAGTAATTTAAGTTTCTAATTGAAACCTTATGTCTATTTTGACGAATTAAAAAGTTAATTAGTGAATTTTTATTAACTAGCCGACTTATCGCTAAGATTAGCCAGCCACATAACGTCCCCCTGGCCGTATAACTAACCTTCACGAGCCGCATAAGTGCATCTTACAAGACTTGTCAGCATCGGTAACCGCAGTGATTCCCATCTGGACGAGTGCTGCAGGAGCAGGAGGAATGCAAGCAAAGCAGGCGCGAAGCAGCCAATAGGGACTTCGGACCCGACTAAGGAAGAAAGGGGCCGAGAGAAGCGTTGTACGCGGAGGAGCAGGTGGACAGAGGCATTCTCGTTGGTCGGCCATGAGTGACATCTTTCTAACGACTGAGTCGACGTCACGCGCGACCTCTCTCGACGACGTGTCCGTCTTGCTCCGACAAAAAATATATCCATACAGAAGAACGGAACGAAACGTTCCCGCTGAGAATGTGCACGCTTTCCGCTTTCCGTTTTTAATTTGGACACTTTTTAGCTCGAAAGTCGAAACGAGACGCCGTAGAGTAAACCGCGACGTGCGCGTCGTCACCCTGCAAAACTATATCACTATCACTCAAATACAAACTCGCACACAGAAAGTGTGCACGCGCACCACACACAAACGCTGATATACACGCAGACGTGCGCATGCACCCAAATACAGACACACACAGCCATGCACTCACAAATTCACACACGCAAACAAACATACATAACCACATACGAACAAGCAGTCACGCACACGGACGCACATACACACACGTATACAGACCCATATACACACACACACATGCGCGTACACACAAATACCCGCAAACTCATACACACCCGTGAAGACACTCACGCAAACACAGGCACACATAAGCAAACAAACAGACGCGCCAACCCGAACCACGCTTGAGGGCATGAACGGAACCGAGGTTGGGTGGGGTGTACGACTTCCTAACATGCATGAATAATGGCCGGTATCAGGAGGGTCGCTCGTGCATACGCTCATCCGCCTCGCGCGACTGATGATCGTCGCGAACATTAAGGTTTCCGCTGCGGGGCCTTTCCGGGACTCGCGACGGCGTTTTCTGCCGGCGTCGCGCGCCTTTCTCGCCCCGCGTTCTAGTTCTCTTGACGAATGCCCTGTTCTTGTGGCCCTTTTCGCTAAGCGAATTTGTTTTGTTTTCTTTTTCCTTTCCGAACGTCGTCGTCTAGAAAAGACGCGATGCAGAAGCAGGGCTGACGTGTCGAGCAAAGATGCGCGAGCACGACCGCACTTAATGAAGACGCCGTTTTCTGGTAAGTGCGAGGAAAGCAAGATAACCGGACCATTAGGACCCGAGACGCGGCTCCTGCACCTTTGGACGAGAGATGGCGGTAGGGTGTTTAAAATGAGCGCTGTCTAATGGTAGTTAAATATGAGAAGAAAAAAACGCACAGGAGAACAGAAGATTGACAAACGCCGATCTTTCAACTAGACACGAAGGGTGTCTTGGTGGTCACCTAAATTGCGCATGCCTCTCAATAGACCGATCGCACCAGCCAGTTTGACTACGCCACCGCTGCCGCAATGCATCGAGGGAACTTAAAGGCCGGTTCACACATACAGGGGAGCGCTAAGTTAGCGCTACGTGAGCGCTCCAAGGATCGCTCATGTGGCTCTTCCTAGCGCGTGTATAGCGCACGGTTAGCGCTTCAGCAGTGCTCTATTAGCGCTTCAGTAGCGCTTTATTAGCGCTCTCACGCTCTTTGTGCCGTGCTTGCTGCTGCGGAACAGCGCGTGCACGGCGATTCCTTTGATGTCGTTTTAGAGTGCAGCTCTCAGGCGCCCGTTACCGGCTTCAGCGGCGTCGCCATCGGCGTCGGCGTCGCCGTCGGCGTAAGCGCGCGGTGCATTATGGGTAAATTTCCCCGCTAAATTTAGCAGAAAAAATTCCCCGCTAAATCTAGTGGGAAAATTTCCCGCTAAATTTAGCGAAAAAATTTCCCCGCTAAATCTAGCGGAAAATTTTCCCCGCTAAATTTAGCGGAAAAATTCCCCCGCTAAGTCTAGCAAAAAATTTTCCCCGCTAAATCTAGCGGAAACATTTCCCTGCTAAATCTAGCGGTAAAATTTCCCCGCTAAATCGAGCGGAAAAAATTCCCCGCTAAAGCTAGCGAAAAAAATTTCCCCGCTAAATATAGCGGGAAAATTTCCCCGCTAAATCTAGCGGAACATTTTCACCGCTAAATTTAGCGAAAAAATTTCCCCGCT